TTATTTCTACTTGGTCGTGTGTGCACACATCTAAACAAAGAGTTGCATATCAGAAAGAGAAGAAGAGAAAACAGAGAATGAAGTGAAAGTGTCTTGGCATTTGGAGGAGAAGCCATCTTTCTATATATATTGAAGGAAAAGCTCGGTGTGGATTTGGATCCCATGACTATAGTAACTAAAGTCATTGAGTGACTTTACTCATGTAGCAAAATCTAGGCTCTTTATTAAATCAATGGTTTGGATAATCTTGTTGCAATTAAAATTAGGAAACAATCAATCCAAATCCATTCAAATCTCCTAAATAATATCATGGAATAAATCTCTACCCTATCTCCTGGCTAAAATTGATAACTTTCTTAAACAGTGCTATGTTGTTCTTCTTCTCCAATTAATGCTCTTTGATCTTAGCACCGAATAGGAAGGGAATTAGGCAGGTGATCGCAGCAAAAAAGAAGAAGAAGAGGTTTGGATTAAGTGTGATTGATTTTAGTTATAACAAGATCACCCAAATCATTAATGTAATAGAAACTCTGGATTTTACTGCATATCTAAAGTCACTCCATAACTGTAGTAATTAACTACAATCATGGAATCTAGATCCCTTGAGGTGTACATGCCAAGTTTGAAACAAAACCAAGGCCTGTTATAAATGCTCAAGAGCCTTCGTTCATTGTGTTTGTGTGCCTTTTCTTTTCTTTCTGTCTTTCTTGAATTTTGCCTGGATTATAAAGTCACAAGGAATTACTTTTTTATATGATATGTGACTATGATTTTAAAATGAGATTGTGATTTATTTTTATTTTTCATATCACATAAATGTTTTATATTTGTGTGCATTTAGTGGATTGTAAATAAATTATTTAAATACAGTTTTTAAAGCCACTAAGTTGTCCCTCTATATGAGTAAACATTGGCCACTATATATTGATGGTAAGCTGGCAGTCATTCTGTTATTTTTAATTGAATTGCATTTTTAATAAGCAAGCTAATTGTATCATCTTTTTATAATTATTCTTATTTAATAAGGTATCTCACTTAAATATAAATAATTGATTAATTTATTTATTAATATTAATAATGTTTAAAAAATTGTTAATTATATATTAAAAACTAAATACTTTATATTTTTTAAGAGATGGAATAACTAAGGCCAATGGAAGGGCTCAGTTTAAATCTTGTGAATAAAAAAAGTTATATTACAAAAGCTACTTCTATTTGAATGTGATAACAGTCAACTTTAATTCGATAATGCTATATATATATATATATATATATATATATTTGGCCATCATTTAATAATACTCCCTCCATTTAAATTATAAAACACTTTTAAATAAAATTTTAAATATTAATAAATCTTCTTAAATGCACTTGATTATATTTTTTTAAAATAAAAATATAAAAATTAAAAATATCCTCCATTTAACAACCTTAAATCTACACTTAATTAATATTAAATAGAGAGAGATAAATGATAATATTAAAATAAAATTATTTAATAAAAATTATAATTTTTTTAAAGTGTCATATATTTTAGAACGGCAAATCACTCTCCAAAAATGTATAAGTATTTATTTAAACAATGAATAAATATTTTCTTCCGCATAAGTAAGATCCGGCGAGGAGAAACACTTATTGAGAGAATTTTTTATATCAATTTTCAATTATGAAGTTCATATAATTAAAGAGAGATAAATACATAATTATAAGAGAAAATTATAAACTAAACTATACATATGACCTTGTTATTTATACATATCATTTTCAATATCATTTTATAGCTAAAGACTTAGCTCAACTGTAATATTTTTATTGGTGTGGTGTTGAATGTTTGATCTCTGGCAATTTTGTTTGTATATATGCTCAGAAACCACCTTAATTAATATTTTGTCATTTTCTTATCTGCCAAACTTTTCCTTGTGGACAACTATTAATATGGATCTCTGTCTTTTTCTTTCCCCAACTAGTATGGATATCGATCTATCTAATTATATAATAAAAAACAAAATAAAAACCTTGGATAAAATCACAACGATCTGGCTTGTCTAGGTATGGAAACGAATAAAAAAAAGAAATAAAGAGGTAATAATGCAGCTTATTAAATTAGCGTAACCAGCCAATGTCAACTAGGGACTTTTGAAGTTTTCCTTACATTTACACGGAAGATTAGTGATTGATTATTACTCCACCTCTTATGAAATACTCCCTCCCTAGCTAAATAAAACACCTAATTGTCAAAATCATGGAGATTAGGGAAGTTATTAATTATAGAATAAATGAGTAAATTATCATCTAAACTTTAGGTTCAATAGTACTATAAACTATGAATTCATTTATTATATAAATTGTTCTCTCAATTTTTAAAAATGATAAAATTTGGCTCTTACTGTTAATAAAAGTTAATTTAATAATTACTTAACCAAAAATTGATAGAGAAGGATCTCACAAATTACAAAACATGACCAACATTTTTTTTGGTCATTTTTTGTAATTTTTATGTCCATTATTGTAATTTTTAGTTATTTTCTTTAATTTTTGAGGTCATTATTTGTTATTTCTAGTTAATTAATGGTTAAAATTAACTTTTGTTAATGGCAAGAGTCATATTGCACATTTTTCAAAAATTAAGAAAATAATTTACATGATAAACAAATTTAGGATTTATGGTGCTATTTAACTTAAAGTTCAAGAGATAATTTGCTTATTTACCCTTAATTATATTTGTATCTAAATTTTTTTCTTCTTTTAATGAAAATTTATATCTTTTTATCTAAAAGGCTCCTAGTAGTATATTAAAATGTGGAACACTTAGATACCTATTCTTATGCATTTAATATATTTTTGCCCAATCAGGCAGAAAAAAGTTATTTTTAAAATCAGTAAAAAAAACAGATCAAGTTATTTTAAAATATTAATAATTGAGAGTTTTTTTATAAAATAAATAATATATAAAAAATTGACATATTTTAATTTGATTAGAAATAAGTATTTTGAGTATATATTTTTTTCTCATATTAAAATTACTTTACTATATGTGTTTCATTAACACGCTCCCATTCCCATACATATAAAGTCAAATTAAGCAGGAAAAAATTGAAATTTTAATGCTTACTAACTATTTTTCTTCATAGGTGTGCGTAACGTAAAAAATGTCTTATATTTGAAAAACATAATATAGCACTAAAATTTGAATAAACCTAAACTATATTACATGTGGTTGATGTAGATACAAGTCAGCCACTTCTTTATAAATTTGGTCATAAATGCATATGGCTAGCGAAGATTATATACTTGCCAGTGCAAGTTATTATGGATTAGCAAATCAATTAACAAAGTCAATAATCTGTCATCAGCTTGATCATATCAAAGCATTGATGAGATATACAATAGGCTTTCCTTTCAAATATGATATACTTCGTGAAAATAAATAAATTGGAAGGTGTTTCAAATCCTGACGTAACCGAAAAATGTGAACGCGCAAGTTATGATTTTCAACCCTAAAACAGTTTCGAAAGAGATGTAAGTGTAACATTGATTTGGAGATTTTAGTCATTCAAGCAGGATCTGTTTCCCCCCATTTTCAAATTTTTTTTCAGCTTAATTTTTTAATTTGCAGAATGAAGCGAGCTTCATTACCTATATATATACTGTTTGGTAAGTAGAAAAATATTTTCTAAAAAAAGAAAATGCTCATATTTTATTTTTTAGATAATTTTTTATAAAAAATAATTTTTCATTTATCAATCATGCTTAAGCTGATGTACATCGAAATTCACATCTTATAGGAAGATCAAAAATCAAAATCACGGCGTGTCACTTTTTTAATTGTTTGACTGGGTAAGGGCATTGAAGAAAAAGCAAACAGGAAAATATTTTTTTAACAACTGATGAAGTATGCTCCCAACGCCCATCGTGTTAGGGGTATTTTCATCCTTATGAATTCTACTTTATAAGTATTGGCCCTTTTTTATCGATTCATAAACTCAAGGTCCTTCAGTGTTTTTTTTTTTTTTGTATAATAGTATTTCACTATTTCTGCCTCATCCTCCCAAAATAAAAGTCAAAATATAGGTTTGCTAAAAAAGAAAAGAGTCAAAATATGGGGTTTATTGGCATAGTCAGCACATGGGCTTTTACCTAATGCAAGTCGTATTCAATATAATTAATTATTTCTTAATTTATTGATGACAGAGTTTACAAATAATTAATTATATTGAGTAAAATTTTAAACTATTTCTCCCAAAACAATATCTTGTTTGAGGCTAGACCCTGTTGGGCTTCTTTTGTTGGATGCTACACTCCTTATAGATAATCATTTTACCATATAAACTTCTTGTTTTTATCTAAAAGATTAGTGTGCTACTATGTCCAAAAGATTCTTTTCAACAAAAGAATACTTGTTGATAACACCAAAAAAAAAAAAAAAGACGTCACTTATAAAAAAACAGTGAGGGACAATCTTTTATTAGAAATAAAATTGAATTGAGATTTTATTTTTAGTAAAATAACTTGCATTTGCATCAGCGTTTTCTCATTACATTTATTTGTACACACAAACTAAAAGGTTAAATCATGTGTATGTAATTTTCTTATTTCACTTTTTGATTTGGATGGAAGAAAAAGTGAAAAGAAAATAGGAAGAAGAGAAAATTAAGAGTAAATTTTCAAAAAAAAAAATAGTAATTTTTTTAATCTATTTCTAGGAAAAATTTCCCCCTTCCTATTTTTCTTTTCATCCAAACCAAATATAAATGTCTGTGTGTTCAATCGAAAGCTCTTGGAAAATTGGTGTAAGTCGTTGCTGGAAACTATGGAAACCTTCAATGCTGACAGTATTTTAGCACAAGTTAGGGCCATAGTTGATCATACAATCAGATCTTACAATATTTTCAGAGTTCTGATGTGAATATTCCCTTCTCTGTACCGTTTTTTTTTTTTTAATGAAATCCATTAACTCCATAAAAAAAAAAGGCAAGGTAACAAGATCTAAACCATGCTAATTTCGCAACAAGAGGTGAAAACGACTTCATTCAAGAGAAGCTTCAACATCATAACGTAGAAACAGGACAGCAAAGGAAACTGAGATCTAAACTAAATTGTACAACGCTGAGACCACAGCCTTGTCCATTTATTACCCGACTCACATAGCAAAGACACCAGACACCCACATAGTCACTTCACATAGTGGCTTTGGTAGGAATTGGAACCCACATGAGATGCTTCACTGGGAAGAAGTGACATACTGGAGCTTCTCCTGGCTTGATTCCCAGTTGCTCAAATAAAATATGATCAGGACTCCACTCAGATGTGTCCAAGTGGCAAATTCCCAGAGCTTCCATTTGATCTCCATTCTCAGAAGCCAATCGAACCTTGAAGATCCTAGTGCCTGAGCTAATGAAGTGACAGTAGAAAACAGCATAAGGGTAAGGCAATGGATGGCAGGCCACCCATTTAGGAGCATAAATATCTGCAGAGATTTCCAGAACAGTGAGGTTCTGTAAAGGGACGCTTGATGTTGCAGGCAAGGTGGTTGTGAGAATGTCTAACTGAGAATCAGAACCGATAATGGAGCTAACAAAGTCAACCATGGACTCCAAGGAAGAAACACAGACCTTGGTTTCTGCTGTCAAGGGCTGAAGCTCGCATTGTTCAAGTGTGCCTCCCATGGCTTGAGCCTCAGGTGAATCTTGAGGGACTGAGAAAAGCTGAAGGACACTTGGAAGTTGTGATGTTGAGAAAGGAACGGAGTCAGCTGTTTTCCTCGTAAGAAAGTGAGGAAACTCTTCAATAGGGAATTGAAGGGTCATCTTATTCCCTGCGTAAAGATCATCCAAAGTGAAAAAGCCTGTCTTGAATGCCTCTGTGTGATCCAATTTTGTGGTGGCTGCATCAGGGTTGTTCTCTGATTCTTCCTCTCCATAGGTAGCTGAGTAAGACTCTTTAGGATTCTTTCCTTCTGAATATTTTTTGCCATCCCTATACGCAGTCATATAAGGCTCATTCACCCTCTTGTGGTTAATATATCCTGTTATATATGGCTTATTCACTCTTTCTCTATCACCATATGCAATTATATAAGGCTGATCCACCTTTTTGTCCTTAATATATCCAGTTATATAAGGCTGATTCTCCCTTTTGGTGTCACCATAAGCTGTTAGATAAGAGTCACTTTGATCTCTCTTATCCTTTTGGGAGAGATCAATAATATAGTTAGTAAGGTAATCCTGATTCACCTTTTTGTGATTAATATAATTTGTTATATATGGTTGACTCATTCTTTTGCCATCACCATACGCAGATATATAAGGCTGATTTACCTTTTTGTGATTAATATATGCAGTTATATAAGGTTGCGTCTCCTTTTTGGCATCACCGTGGAAAGTTTTATAATTGTAAGAGTCATCTTTTTTGGGAACTGATGAGGCTTCAGCATGTTTTGGAAGCTCTTCTACATTCATCTCTCCTGCACTGCTTGCATGCACGTGCTGCAAAAAGCAGTTCAATAAAAAATTAAGGCAATTTAATTAACAAATATAAACTCATAACATATATAATATAATAAGTCAACCAATGTTCAGATATATAATAATCCATGCAATGTTTCACTTCATTTACTAAAATATGAGATGAGTCGCGTTACTCATGATTTATAAGCAGTTTTATTTTTTAAAAAAATATATTAAGTGTGGATTTTATTATCACTACTCTATTTATAATTATATGATGTTACGAGAGTGTAGAACAACCACCTGTATAAAGATATTATAATTTATTTCAAAATTTCAAAACTCAAATTTATGAATATTTTTTAATTATATATTAATTATTAAATTTAATTTTATTAGACGTGAGACTTCTCACATTTGGACAATTAACAATGTCTCTTTCGGTTATTAAGTCTACAAGTTTTGATATGACATGCGCTCACAAAGCATAATCAACAACGGAACAAAGTGAAAATTAAACTACATAAAAATAAAACCGTAGCACTAGTATTAAGCCAATTGGAAAACTTGTGAATGCATATGCAAAGCAAGAATATGCTTTAAAAGGTTGGGTGTGTGCGGGGAGCATATATATATATATATATATATATTAGATAGAGAGAGAGAGAGAGAGAGAGAGAGAGAGAGTTACATACCAAAAAGAGGAGAAGGAGAGAAAAGAGAGAGCACAGTGGAAGTGTTTTGGTATTTAGAGACGGCGCCATCTTCCTGCAGTCAAGGAAAAGCTCTATGAGAGGTGTGTGTCAAGTTCGAGCCAAACTTCGGCTTTTTATAAGCAGCCTCCTTCATATTATTTTATTTATTTATTGCATGTGCTCACTCTTTTTTTGTTGTTGTTGTTGTTGTTGTTGAGAAACAAACAGGAATCGCTTCTCTTCACAATTAGATGATTTATTGCATAGTTGACTATTGATTAAATTTGATATTTTTTTAATAATTTAAATTAGATTTAAGATATATTTTTATTTTTAAAATATTTGTAAAGAAACACCAAATACTTTAAAATATCAAGTGGAGTAATGTTGCTCTTAAAATTTTAAAAACATAGCAAAATAGCCCTCACCAGTAAGAGCTTCTAATTTTCGTTAAACTATATCGGTTCAAGCATCTTCACCACTTGCTTCATGCTTGGCCTCACCCTCGGCCTCTCTTGTATGCACCACAGTGCCACGAACACCATCCTCTTCACTTCTCTCTCTTCCACACCACTTTCAATCAACATCTGATCCACAACCTCCATTGATTTTCCTTCTCTCACTTTCTCATTCACAATCGTTGGAAAGCAATCCCACTTCTTCTTTGTCTTGTCCCTTGGATCTTGGATTAAGCACACATTTCTTCTTCCTCCTATTATCTTTATTAGTACCATTCCGCAACTGTATGTCAGTTTTCTCTGAAGCTCCATGTTCTAAGAGCCATTCTAGAGCTAAATACCCTCTCGTTCCTCTTACTGTTGTCATCACTTTGCTCTTATCCTTCCCCATTAGCTTTCAAGAGACCAAAATCTGAGACCGTTGCTTTGAAATTCCGTCTAGCAAAATGTTCTCTGGTTTTAATTACATCCAGTTGTAGGATCCTCTACCTACAATTGTGGTGAAGGTAAAGAGAGACTTTTGGCTACATCGATGGCTCCTTTGCATCTCAAGCTCCACGATAAAACCCTGCAGTGAGATCTTTGATTTTTGGGGAATATCAAGGAATCCAGAAATCCATTTGGGATGAACTCATAAACCAAGTACCCAGGGCTGTGGTGGAGTTGGGCTAAACGCCTTTAACGTGCCCTCTTATAATAAAAACCTCCTTTAATAAAAATGTCTCAATGTTCTAATTTTATTTTTCATGTTTTAGATTATTAATTTTTATATAAAATAAGAAACATTTAAATATTTTAATATTTTAAATTTTTATTATTTTAATATTTAAATGTCTCTTATGTAAGAGTTAATTATTTAAAAAAATAAAAAATAAAATTAAGATATTAAAATATTATAAAGATCATTACAAAAGAGCACATAAGAGGTTCCTACGAAATTACGGTACCTAACCAGGCGCACGGGGTTGACGTGCTGGGTGCTGGCTATGGCGGCGACTTCTAATTTGAACTCCTTCTCGCCTCGTTCTTCACCATTGATTCGATTGACAGCCACCGTGACGTTGTTGTTTAAAATACCTTTGAAGACTGAAGCTAAGGCTCCTTGGCTGACGAGTAACTGGAATCCGTCGGTGGCGTCTTCGAGCTCTTGGAATTAGGACTTGGTCGGAACGCCGATGACTTTTCCCAAGAAGTTGTTTCCTATTCGGAACTCTCTACCTTTAGATTTCTATCGGCATTCGATCAATCTTCTTTTGCAGTTGTATCGCAATCGGATTAGAACACAAGCGAAGACAGCGATGATTAACGCAACATTGGCTCCCACAAGGAAGTAGAGGACACGTATGAAAGATTGTGGGGGCCACTATTATCATTTAATGGATGTCAGAGGCTCTTGGCAGTGAGGGTTATTTTGCTCCGTTTTTTAAAACTTTAAGAGAAATATTACTTCACTTAATGTTTAGAATATTAGATGTTTTTATGCAAATATTTAAAAAAAATGTACATCAATCCTTTAAATTAATACGTATAATTAAAATTTGATTTGGTTAATTTAAAGTTATAATGGAAATTCATTGAAGGGAGATTGGATTAACAAGAGCCATAGTTTTTTTTTTGGTCAAAAAATATTCATTGTTTTTAAATTGCTGTCATTAGCGACCACCAGTATAAAAAAATTCACATTTGGGCCCTATTTGAGCATACTTTTGGTAATACATACAAATCAAGTAAAAAGTCAATGATTTGTGATACGATCAAGTAATGTAATGAGAAGATAATTCATTTCAAGAACTAACTACCTCAGCAAAACTAAAATAAATTGGAAGTCATTGTTTTGCAAATTTTAAGGAACCGAAAAAATGTGAACGAGCAAGTTGGATTTTCATCATTAAAACAGTTTGAAGGGGATGTACGCAAGGTGTAATATTGACTGGGAGACTTTCACTATTATTTAAGCAGCCTGTGCATTTTTAATCTGCAATTGATCTTGGAGCATCAAAATCAATTAGGCCTTTTTTTTTGGAAATTTTTAAATTTAATTTAGGATTAAATAGTAATTTGACTCATAAATTATAGGTACAGAAACATTTGAAACCTTAAATTTAATTTTTGTACAATATTTTTTCTTAATTTTTGAAAATAATATAGTGTAGCCTATATGATTAATAAAAATTAATTTTGATTGTTTGTTAATAAAATAAATGACAAAAAACCCTCAAAAATTACAAAAGGACCATGTGAACATTTTATTAGTTTTTTTTATAATTTTGGGTCATTTTTTTATCATTTTTTATAATTAACAGTCAAAGTTAACATAATAGTAAGAATTATATTGTATCATTTTTAAAAGTTGTAAGACAACATTACATAAAAAATGAGTTTTGGTCCCATAAGCCCTTCACCTATAATTTAGGACCCAAATTTAATATTCATTCACACCTCAATATATATATATATATATATATATGTATGTATATATAAATAAATAAATTCTAAGTGTATAAAAGCTAAACACAAGAAATTTTGCAATTCAAAAATAAAATTTTTTGAAGAAATGAAGTAATTTGTTATGTAAGCAACAGAAATATTTTAAAGTAAGGTTTAAAATTAAATAAATAACACGTTCTCTTTCGATCGTCTTTATAAATTATTTTTACCAACATCATTAATATCAATATAAAAAAAGTATAAGGAATAAAAGTATGTAAAATTTTAAATATGTCCCTATAATAAATTTAAAAAGTGATATTATGTTATTCTTTTCTTTTTTATAAAAGATAATTTTAAAAATATTTTTTAAATATAACTTAAAAGTCACATTATAATTTATAAATAAAATTAAATAAATTTTTTAAAAAGATAATTTATAAATGGAATTGAAGAGAGTATATTATTTTGATAGTCATGTGCTTACAGAAGCATGTGATGACATCAGAATATTTCGTGTAGTTTTATTTTTAAACCGTAAAATTGTGTTTTATTTTTAATATGAAACCAGGTAAGTTTCTCGGTAAGGACGCTACCCGACACGAGGTGCAAGCTGAATTACTTGTTATACACTCCTCCTCAATTTTATAAATTATTTGATATTTCTATCAATTTTACCAGTATTAATATATAAAAAATAAACAAACGTAAAATTTTACATGGATCCTTGTATAATAAATTTAAAAAATAATATTATATTATTTTTTTATAAAAAGTAATTTTATAAATAATTTTTAAATATTATATAAAAAGTTGTACCGTAATTTATAAATGAGACCAAATAAATCTTTCAGAACATGACTTATAAATGAGATCGGATGAAATATTTGGGTAAATGAGCAAATTATTTTTTAAATTTTAGATTCAGTACATCATAAATTTTGAACTTATTTATTATGAAAAGTGTTCTATTAATTTTTAAAAATGATACAATCTGACTCCTGCTATCAATACAAGTTAACTTAACAGTTAATTGATTAAAAAATAATAAAAAAAGTTCCAAAAATTACATAAAAGGACAAATTTTTTGGATCATGAAATTTTTGGGTTATTTATTATAATTTTTTAATTTTTTTTACAATTTTTAAAATCATTTTCAGTCATTTTATGATCAAAGTTAACTTTTGTTAATGATAGAAACTAAGTTGCATCATTTTTAAAAGTTGAGAAAATAATTTACACAATAAATAAGTGTAGAATCTACAGTATTACAAGACCTAAAATTTAAAGAATAATTTACTCATTTAACATATATATTTTATATAAATGAGATAAATAGCATATTTACCTCTAAATATCTTATATGGAGAAATTAATATCGTATAGAAAATGCATTAAAGCAATGTCGCTCATCAAGCAGTCAAACTCATTGTAATACCACCCTTGATCTTCAGCTAGTAAAAATTTACGTAAACAGTTAATTCCAGTGAATTACTTTGATTGGACTGACACAGTGACACTTGGCATGCCTACCCGTGAAATTATCTTTGGGCTAACGAACATTTTATCTTCAAAATTATTTGTTTTTACACCTTAAAAGTTCAATAACGCAAACCAATTGATATCCTAATTCCTACATATTTTTTTAACCAAAATGTATGATATGACATCATATTTAGGATATCATATGAATTGCCATTTCAACTAAACATTCATTGATTTTTTTAAAAAAGTCTCCCAACCCGCGCAAAATATCGTTGTGTGGGCAAAACACCAGCCATTGTGGGGATTAAATTACATTACACGATAAAAATTTTAATTGGGCCTGACATTATTTAACTTCACACGAGACATTGTGGGCAGATTTTTTTTTTTTGATAAATGAGAAGTTGGACAATGTACTACTAACCAAATAGATGAAATTGGGCCTCCTTTGGTAAAGACCTCATCGACACTTTTCTCTGGTTCATTTGAGCAGCCCTCTCTTTTGAAAAAAAAAAAAAGACATATAAGAAATTCTGCTTTGCTTACATCAACTTCCTGATTTAGGCTCATGTTTTCTTTTTTTTAAATATGAAAGGGTCCATTAATCCAACAAGGATACAAGAGTGATTCAATTTACATCACAAGACTTAATCTTTTCATCAACCATTACCTCTTGCCAAAAGGCTGGTGGTTGAGGGGGGAAAAAATAAGACCTTTTTACAAAATCCTAAAGCTTTATGAGTTAGATAATGAACACGAAATT